GAAAGCTAGTTTCTTGATACTACAGAGTTAGATCCAAGGTGGAGATTTGTGAGATATTGGATCGAACTCTAGTATGGTCGAAGGGTAGTTTCTGGTTCAACGGAAATTAAGCATGAGGCCGAAGTCTGTTTGCATGTTGCTGTCGGAGTAATGCGTGTTGTAGTCGAAGTTTGTTCTAACATGCATTAGTCAATATTGCTAGGGTTGTTAGCATGTTGAATTGGGTCTTGCTTGTAAGCTCAATTGTTTAAGTTAACTTGTACCCTAAGTTAGCTTATAATGGGTAATTGTTAAAAAGGCAATTAGGTTAGTGTGCTATTTTTTCTTATAAATAAGATGCTAGTTTCTCAATCTTGGCATAAGAAAAAATAGGAAGATAAAATCCTAATTTCAAGAGAGAGAGGTTATTTTCTTATACTTGTAATCTTGTTCTAAGAGCAAGAAAAGAATAACAATTTATAACCAATCCTTGTTTTACCTTGTTATCTTTGTTAACTCTAACCCTTGTGTGTTTTTTTATCATAAAGAAATCGTTTATACTTTGTTTCAAGACATCTGATTCACAACAAATATAAAAATAATTTATAATATTTCTCAAAACAAAAAATTATAATAATTTTTACGGATTAAATATTTTTTTCGTTTCTTATCCTATACTCGGATTTTATTGAGAAACCTATAGGTCTAAATGGGTGTATAAGATCAAGATACATGTTGATGGCACCCTTGAGAGATACAAAACATGATTGGTTGCGAATAGTTACACACAAACTGAGGACATTAACTATATGGATACTTGTTGCAAAAATGATAAATGTCAAATTGTTATTGCTAATTGATGCTTCAAGGCATTGTCACCTTGTTTAACTTGATGTCAACAATGCCTTCTTCCATGTTGACCTAGATGAGAAAGTCTACATTACACCACCTCTTGACTTGATTCCATCAGCCCCTAATCAGTTTTATAAGTTTCTAAAATCTCTTTATGGATTGAAACATGCTAACTAGCAGACAATGATTTGCATGTTATCATCCTTACTTACTTCTTTTAACTACAAGCAATCTAAAGCATACTAGACTTTTTTTTACTAAATTTATTGGTAAAAAACTCATAATTCTGCTCATCTATGTTGAAGACCTTATCATATCAGGAGTGATATTGATGAAATCCAAAGTTTAAAATTAAGGTTTGACATCAATTTCAAAATCAAGGACCTTGAAAACTTACAGTACTTCCTTAGAATTGATGTTGTTCAATCTTTTCAAAGAATTTCCATTTGTCAACGCAAATATGCACTCGAATTATTACATGAACATGTCTTTTAGCTGCAAAGTCAACACCTACTCCAATGATAAGATCTCACTAGCACATTACCAATGATGATTCTCCTCAAACTAATCCCACCACTTATAGAAGGCTCATTGAACAATTAATTTATTTCTAGACCACAGGATCTTACTTAAGTTTTTCAGTTCAACAGTGTTGCACCCTAATTTTTGACTCTAAGATCCCGCATCTTTTTGCATCATCTGTATAGTTTATCATCTCTTACATTTTTCATAATATCCAATTTATCAGCTGAAATAAACTTTTTGGACAGTTTAAGCCGTTTTAGCGGGTAAAATTTATTTCAAAATTTGACAAAACGCCGTATTTTTTCGAATCGTATATTTTTTGCTGATCACTTTGGTGTATTCATTTTATTTTTTCGAGTACTTCGATACCGACCCAATTATTCGTGTTTTGCTGTCTTTATTTCTACTTTTAATTAATATATTCTTTTAATCCGTCAAATCTTTATTTTAGATTTTATTGTAAATATTTTATTCTTTTTATGTTTATCTTTTCCTTATTTTGTGGAACTTTTGAAAAAGTTTTTGATTTTGTAGTAATAAAGGAGATTTTGTCCATTTTTTGAGTACTAATATACTCATGAGCTACCTTCTCTCTCATAGCCACATCAATCTACTAGACCCCAAAATCCCACAAAATCTAGAAAAAAAGGGCTCTCACGTAACCACACATCATCAAGTACTCACTACTGCACATAATAAAAAATAAGGACCATATCCTCAGTTGAGGACTTGAACAGAGAAGTCTCATAAAAAAGAGCTGCATGCTAATCACCCTATACTCTCCACACACTAAAACTAATTTAAGGGCGTGAACCATTTTCTGCTTCCACTCCTCAACAAGACACTCAAATCGTGAAAGCAAAACCGCACCGCCGACAAGAGTAGCGGAAAGGAGAAACGTTTCTGTCACGATTCATCTTGGTATTGTTCTTTCTTTTTTTTATTTAAATTTTTATGTGTCTTTAGTAATTAAGTTGTATGAGTGTGAATTTAATAATTATTTGATTAGTGTTATCAAAATAAATAGATGTGTGTAGATATGCATTAAAATAAAAAAAAACTAGAATATTGTAAATGCATGAGATTTATGTGGGAGTATAGTAATGCCAACGTGTGAATGTATATGCAAACTTAAGTCATTACTATTTTTCTTTCGCTCATTAATTTCTATCATTTTTAAATCATTATTTTTTTTTCATTTAATTATGACTATTTATTGCTATTGGAAATTTAGGATAAATATGTTGATAGTTTCAATTTAGATAGCAGATATATTTTCATATTATTTTTTTTTTTATATACTAATTTATGTTTCTGTTACTTCTAGTTTTTAACATATATACATTGCCTTTTGTTTTAATTTATACATATTTGTTTTATATTTAAATATTTATACATATTAGTACTGTTTCATTTTATATGTCAACTTTCATGTTAGTTTTTTTGGTATAGAAAAAAATTTATATTAGTTAAAAGTTAAATGTATATATTGCTTTTTTTTAACTTTAATATAATTTACACATTTTAATTTATACTGCTATCGTTTTTTATAATATACTTATTTTATATTTTAGTTAATAAGTATCTATATTCTACTAATTATAATATATATTTATATTTATTTGTTTTGTTATAATATTATTTATCTATTTACTCATTTATTTTATTAGTTACAACGTTACTGTTTTGTGAGGAAGATGAAAATACATGTTTACTTTGTCATAGGACTTGGAGTCGCCGTGCTCTATTTAGTCGTCCCGCCGCGGACATTTCCTTTTTCTAACTTAACCTTAGCTTAGAGTCGCCGCACTCTATGTAGGTGTTTCACCGCAGACATTTACTTTTTCCTTTGGAACCTTGACCACAGTTAAGAGTTCCTCACCCCCATTGAGGGGAACTACGAACGCTCTGATTTCTCAAAGTGCCTTTTGAGAATACGTAGGCACAAGGCCCCGATCCTTGGCGAGCAACCTTTTTCTTTTTTCTTTTTTTTTTCAACCTTTTCTTTTTTCCTTCGTTTCAACCTTTATCTTTACCCTTAGCACATTTCCTTTAGCAAGCAAACTTTAGCAAACACAAATATTAACAAGAGGTTCCTGTAGAGTACTACAGATGTTTAGGATGTGAAATACCTACCCTAGGCATAACCAATCCCCGAACCTTTAGATCTCTCTTTGCTTAGCTTTAGGCCTTGCCGTTTGCTTTGCATTTTAATAGGTTTTTCTTTCTTTAAACCTTTCCGTTTTGGATAAATTAAAGTCCGGTTGTGAATTTAAGAATTAAGATTCAAGTTAATCAATAGCTTGGTATCACGATTCTCACCGCAACAAACAGCTAAGTCAATTCATGTTCTCTCTAACAACTCTCTACCTGCAGGCTGCTTATAAAATCCTAAAATACATAAAGCAAACTCCATCTCAAGGATTGTTCTTTTTCTCCACATCCACTCTTCAACTTAAGACATTTATTGATTCAGATTAAGCATCGTGCACTGATACAAGGTGATCAATTACATGTTTCTGGATTTTTTAGGAGACTCTCTCATATCTTGAAAATCAAATAAGCAAATTATTGTTTCTCGATCTTCCTCTAAGGCAGAGTATCGGGCCCTTACTTCAACAGTTTGTGAATTACAATGTTTCTCACTTACTTGTTACGTGACTTCCATGTTGAGTTTATCACACCTGCACTTTTATATTTTGACAATCAATATTCCACATTGCCGCAAATGCAATATTTTATGAAAGGACAAAACATATTGAAATCGATTGTCATATTGTACGAGAAAAGCTTGTTGGCAAACTGTTTCAATTACTATTAATTCCAACATCTACATAACATTATGTAATAGAAAATGATAATAAAAAATATACACATAGGTGATTACTTAAATGTCATTTTATTAATGAAAATAATTTGTAGAAAAAAGCAATTTAAGAAGTTCATGCCATTAATTTTTATTGAGTTGATAATTGATTGATTGATGGCTAAGCAAATTAAAAACATCTGAAGTTTGAGAAGTGAAAGACGTGTCTCGCGTGAGGAAAGTAAATTTAGGTTCTGCCTCTTTTCTGTACCCTCTGTTTTTCTGAGAAACTTGTCATTCGCAACCAATTAATTACAATAACAATCCCATGATATTAACTACTTTCTCAAATCTTTAAAAAAAAAAATCTGTAAAATTTACTAATGTTGGTTAATTGCATGAATTTTAACCTGGATATACGGAAAGTCACGTGTGGAATCTGAATCTGTTTTTATGAAATAGAGCGGTTAAATTATGAATTTATTGTCTTCGTGAAACATCATAAATAGGAATGTCTGCATATAAATGTCAGTGCATGTCATAATATTTGAGACCAAACACACAAAACTTTGTTATGCTGCCGCCAAACTAAAATGAAGAGGCGCGTACACTGTTCAAATTAACATTAAATGCTTTGATTTGAAAACGTTTGAATGTGTACAAAAAACATCAAGTGCTCACGAGCTTCCTCACTTGCTTCACCCACCCTGCCAACTCACTCTGCATGCATATATCACACCCTATTTAAGGGCACATACTTTCAACCCTTTTGCACCAAAATCTATAGCTCTCTCCAAAACCTCAAAACAAAGAACACAACATCATTAAACAAACAGAAATGACTACTACTAAATGTTTCTCCTTTCTAACCATATACCTTCTTCTTTCACTAAACTCTCTTGAAACCGTCATAGGTGGACGTATAATTCCACCAAGTGCTCCGAGCACGGTTACAAGGCCGCTAGTTTCATCAGAAGTTGAAAACTTTGTGATGCCGCAACAAGAACGTAAGCAGAAAGCTTTTCAAATAGGGAGAGAAGTGAAGGGTTGTTTGCCGAAAGGTTCTAGACATAACTCGGCTCCAAGCAGATTTGTTAACTTTAAGCCTGAAGGTTCTGGTGGATGTTCTAAAATACATTCAGGGAAACCTTGATGATGTTTGAATGGTACAAGATTTTTTTTCTTTTTGTATGTATATGGTTTTTCAAGTTCACTTGTAGTGAATTGAAAACTGACAAGGTCGCTTATATATATGGTTTTATAACTTTGGCTTTTTGTGATTTATATTGCAAGTTACAATTTTGAACAATGTGTATGGAAGTCACATAAATATGGTTTTATACCCTTTTTGCTTTTAGTGTTGCATGGTTAAATTTGATGTTCTGCTATGTATCTAATTTAAGGAGAAGAGTTTCTTAGAATAGATGCATCTCAGGCACTTAAAGCTAGAGAATCTAAAGATTAACATTAAAAAAGCAAGAATTATGATTCAAAAGAACAAATAAAAACACCATCCATGATATAAACATAAACATACCATATCTAAATTCTGTGTTAAACCAGTAACAAACTATAGTAATTTAACTTAAGTACATGAAAAGCAAAAGGCGGGCTTTAAGTTTTGCCCTTGAAAGGAAAAGTCTACAGCAGATAATTGAAGAAAATCTAACTAAGTCTACAGCAGATAATTGAAGAAAATCTAACTATACAGATCATCTTCCTCAGCTCCGCCAGAAGCAGTAGTTGCAAAAGGGTCAGATTCAGTAGTTCTATTTGCAGTGTCTGAGAACCTAAATTCACTTCCGAAGCCCCTTGATTGTTGTAAGGTTTGAGCAAATGCTTGGTATTTACGTATATCAGCGTCACTGACACTCCTACGCGCATACTTCATTGACTCCTCAAAATGAGCCGCCTTGATCTCTGCAACTTCTTCGTCGATAAGGTCTTCTTCCATGGCCTCAGGGTTTTCCTTCCTTTTCCTCTCTTGTTCTATGTCCTGTAACCACAACAATTTATTAGCTCAAACCTTGTCAAAAGAGATTCATAGAGTCGTAACAATATTGAACGAATCAAAATCTTGAAACTAGAAAAGAAATAAACATCTATTAACCAAATGCATACCTTCTCAATGTTTTCTCTTATAGCATATTTGCATGCTCGCTGGCATATTTCTGTAATATCGGCACCACTGAAACCTTGTGTATACCTAGCCAATGCTCTCAAATCAACATCTTTCGCAATTGGTGACTTTCTCAAGCAGGACTTGAAGATCGAATGACGGGAATCCTCATCAGGAAGAGGAATATAGATCAATTGATCTAGACGGCCAGGCCGGAGTAGTGCGGGATCAATGATATCAGGTCTGTTAGTTGCCCCAATAATAAACACAGTCTTTTTAGCAGACATGCCATCCATTTCAGTCAGAAGTTGATTTAGAACTCTGTCGGCAGCACCACCAGCATCCCCAACACTGCTTCCTCTCTGCAAGAACAACAGTGATTAAATACAAATAGAAGTTTTAGTTTTAAAAAAAATACAAATAGAAGTTGAAAACAAGAAATCAAAGAGATGCATGCAATCACAACTGAGAGATATTAAAAAACATTAAAGATCTATAAATGGATTGGCTTATTTAAGCTTTTCTCCTGACACAATCACTAGTGAGGGTGTTTGAGTCAGGTTTTTTCAACTTATTTTCACAAGCTCTCTAGGATAGCCTATGAAAACAACTGATAGCTATATGAAAGCAATCTAACTTTATTATTTCTTTGTTGTAGAACTAGCTTATACACAAGTGCTTAACTAAGTTATTTATCCAAACAAGACTTATTTGAGATCCTCGTTTTTTCTTTTCCGAAAAGACTAGAAGCAATAATAATGTCATGTCAAAATATATAAACATATCTCACTTGAGTATCAACCATGGTCACTGCATAATAACATAGCAATCTGGGAGTTTTGAAGTAACTAGAAAACAAACCTGAGTGGCAATGGAGTCAAGCTCATCAAAAAAGAGGACACATGGAGCTGATTGTCTGGCCTTGTCAAAAATTTCTCTAACATTGGCTTCACTTTCACCAAACCACATTGTAAGCAATTCTGGGCCTTTCACACTGATGAAGTTAGCTTGACATTCATTAGCAATTGCTTTGGCTAACAATGTTTTTCCGCATCCTGGAGGACCATAGAAGAGAACTCCTTTTGATGGTGACATCCCAAACTTCTCAAACTTTTCCGGGTGCTCAACAGGATATTGAACAGTCTGAGTCCACAGAAAATAAAAATTCAGAAACTTCTCAAATTGATAAGGAAAAAAGGTATGATTAATTACAAGGAAATATTTTTGACCTCTTGCAGTTCACGTTTGACATTCTCAAGGCCTCCGATGTCTTCCCAGCTAACATTAGGCACCTCAACAACCTGTCAATAGAGTTTAGTAAGAAAACAGACCACCAAGAAAGAAAACCTTATTGAATCGTAAAAAAGAAAACTAACAGTTTCACGTAAAGCCGAAGGGTTGCTTGTTCCGAGGGCAGTCTGGAAATGTTCATTCGAAATTGCCATGGAATTTAATATTTCAGCATCAATTGTCTCATCCTCTAAATCAATGACGTCCATCTTCTCCCTAATGCACTGCAAAGCCGCTTCAGTGCAAAGGGCAGCAAGGTCAGCCCCAACATACCCATGAGTATCTTTTCCAATTCTTTCCAAATCAACCTACCAAGAAAAGCATAAATGATCAGCTAAAAATTTAAGAAAATTGTAAGCAAAATAACAATCAATGCTATTGAAAACTTGATTGTGGGTATTAACATTACAATAGAAGAGAAATCAATGTAACAAACCCTTATTAATACTGCAATGTGCAACTATCATAACTAAATAAATAGTAGTGAATTTGACTGATGAGATGAATAAACATAAAATACAGCACAAAATACCGCCCAGCAAATGTGAAAGTTCAGTATTTGGTAATTCCCAACTTACATCATCAGAGAGCTTCATGTTTTTGGTATGTATGCGAAGGACCTCAAGCCGTCCAATTTCATCAGGAACACCAATATCAATTTCCCTATCAAATCTACCAAACCGTCTCAATGCTGGGTCAATGCTATTTGGACGATTAGTTGCACCCATGACAATAACATGAGCACGAGATTTTAATCCATCCATAAGAGTCAAAAGTTGTGAAACAATCCTTCTTTCAACTTCACCGTGTGTCTTCTCCCGCTTGGGTGCAATAGAATCAATCTCATCGATAAAGATGATGGATGGTGCATTCTTTTCAGCTTCCTCAAATGCTTTCCTAAGATTGCTTTCACTCTCTCCAGCCAGTTTGGACATAATCTCAGGTCCGTTAATGCAAAAGAAGAAAGCTCCAGTTTCATTAGCAACAGCTCTAGCTATTAATGTCTTTCCAGAACCTGGGGGTCCATATAGCAAAATTCCTTTCGGTGGTTTCACACCAATTGCTTTGAAAAGTTGTGGATGCCTCAGTGGAAGCTCAACCAACTCGCGAATCTGTGCCATTTGCTTCCTAACACCACCCACATCATCATAACCAATTTCATCAAGCCTGTCTTCATCTTCTCTTTTCACAGGTTCTCCCTCGCAAAAAATCTCAGTGTCTGGAGCAACCACACAATACTCCCCAGGATCAGTTTCAATGACCTTAAACTCTACACTTCTCATCCCTCCCCGCACAAGAAATAGTTCTCCTTTTCTGACAGGACGATAAGCCTCCAAGAAATAGGCTGTAAATCATATTAAAAAGTTAGACTTGCACAAATACAAAAATATACATATTCAATCATATATATAATAAAACCTCTACAAACAAACATCGAATCCATAAGAAAATGATAAAATTAAATCCCTTCTTTGCAGTGTGTCTCTCAAGTAAAACGGCCACATGCATTTTCATGGAAAATCATCAAAATCCCTAAACGCCAGTCAACCATATACATGTATGCAAAAACTTACATTACGATAAGAAGTCTGATTTGAAATAATCAAAAAGACTTGGAACAAAGGAAAGTGATAGAAATTGATACTATGTTATACAATAGACTAAGAAACCAGTGAAGAAAGTCTAATAGCAACAAAAGACAAGTATTTGCAGAAATAAAAATTACAAAAGATAGTAGTTTAACACTGAAAATTTAGCAATAGAAACATGATCATAACAACTAGAAACACTCAAAACATGAACAAAAGAACAAAGCTAGCAAAATCAAGTCAAAATTCAGTAACCAGACAATTGTATTCAGAGGCCCTAGAACTTACGTTTCAAGAAAGCATCAAAGAGATTGCCAGTGAGACCTTCAATTGTATCATCAACAGGAAGAATATGCACGCGTTTCCCATACTTAACATCAGGACACTGGTGCACAGACACAACATCTCCAAGCCGAACTCGCAAGTTCGACCTCACAACCTTGTTCATCCTTATCTTAGCCTCTTCGCACGTATCATCAGCAAGCGATACACAAATAGTATCCTTCCGTTTCTTTCCCTACAACCCAACATAAATCACACTATATGAGTAAAAAACTATCACACTTCTATATGATCCCTGAACTAAAAATATCATAAATAATCACTAAACTATTCTTAATCTATCATGTGCCATTCAAAAAGCAGTTATTTTGGAAATTGAATGAAACCCTAGATGAAAAAGGAATTAAATTAAAGAGGGTGTTGTTCAAAATATTACCTTGATAAGAACAGTGTCACCACGGAAAAGCCCCAACGTTTCCATGGTTTGTGGATGCATAGCGACAATAGAGTTGTCGTCGTTGACAGCCTCATCAACGACAAGTCGGTTAGGAGATTTCTTCCGTTCCAGAATCGCGGTGGAGAAGTCCTTTTTCACCGACTTCCTGCAATTCAAACCAAAACTTGATTATTATTACTATTATTATCAAACAAATTTCGAAGACAAATAAGTGATAGAAAAAATAAACTAAAATTGTGAGAGGAAAATCAATGACGATTAAACTCACGAATCAGATGATTCTGGTTGAGACATTTTTTTGATGGAATTTTGAAGATCAATGAGAGCGCAGAAAAAAGCTTGACTTGTTTGTGTTTGATGAAACAAAAGCCAAAGTGATGAACTTGTTAACTTTGAAGTTTTTGATATTCACTATT